ATGCCAGCCTTGTCCGTCCCTGAGCGCTCGGGTGGGATGGGGTGCTGCACCCAGCTCTCCCTCCTCGCAGGCTGAGTCAGTGGGGCAGARCGGACAAGGGACTTGCCAGGGGGATGGAGCCGGGACCCGCTCTTTGGTTCATGCAAGAGYAGGAGCACGGCGCTGTAGGCACAATGCAGTGGGGTCATCAGGGCTTGCGAGGGCAGAAATGCGGTCTGCCGCCCATGGGTGACACTCCATGGCGGTGCTGTGCAGCTGGGTCAGAGCCTGGCGAAGGAGGMGATGCAGGTGGCCCTCGAGCTGCTCGGGAGATTGTCTTGGGTGGCTGAGAGGGGCTGTGAAACACAGGGTGCAGCCCTGGCCAGGCTCAGATCTGTGCCCTCCTCTTGGCCACATGTCCTTGGTGCAGTGACCTGGGGGACATGAGCTGCAAGCAGGAGGGCTGGCAAACCCCACGGGGAGCTGGGCTTGGGTGTAACGTGTCCTGGCCCTGGTGGGTCCCTGTGAGAGGATGTAACACATTTCCTGAGGTCCCTATGGGAGGACATAACGCATGTCCTGGCCCCGGGCATCTCCATGGAAGGTTGTAATGTGTGTCCTGATGTCCTCATGGGAGGATGCAGCACGTGTCCTGGCACTGAGCCCCGGGGATCTCCATGGGAGGATGTAACACAAGTCCTGAGGTCCCTGCGGGAGGCTACGACACGTGTCCTGGCCCCGAGCCCTGGGGATCAACATGGCAGGACGGAATGTGTGTCCTGATGTCCCTGCAGGAGGATGCAACGCGTGTGCTGGCCCTGGGGATCTCCTTGGCTGGCGGCCAGGACGCGGCACGACCCATAGCGACTGCGCCGGGCCCCTCTCACCCGCCTCCCGCTCTCTCCTCTCCGCAGGCCGGAGCCGGGGCTGCCTTGGCCGCCATGAACGGGACGGCCAACGTGAGCCTGGCCGCACGCAGCCACTTCGCCTCCGCCATTCCGGTGCCGCGCAGTGCCGCGCAGAGCAGGACGGCGGCGGCGCCGCGGAGCCCGGCCCGGCCCAGCGCCCCGGTGCCGCCCGCCGCGCCTGCACCCACAGCACCGCCGCCACCCAAGGCCCCGGGCCCTGCCTCCAAAAGCCTCAAGGCCAAGGGCACCGGCACACGCGGCGGGCCGCAGGCGTCGCCGAGACCCCGGCGCTCCCCGGAGCCACCGAAAGGCAGCAGCGAGGCCGGGGAGGCCGCGGGGCCGCCGGCACCGGGCAAGAGCGGGGGGCGCCCAGGCTGGCGGGGAGACGGTGGGGAGGCCGCCGCCGCTGCCACCCGCCGCCCCCCGGACAAGGCCCGCAGCGGCTGGCAGGGCAGGGGGGGCCCCGCCGGCGGCCCCGGGGCCGTCCCCTTCCCCTCGGCCTCGCCGCGCGGCCGCCCCGTCACCGCCACCGTGGCGCCTTTCCAGTACCGGTGAGTGGGGCCGGGGGCTGGTGGGAGCGGGTGCTGGGAGCCCTGGCGTGGCGGCAGCACCAGAGGGGCTCGGTTGTCCAAGGACTCCCCGACGCTGGCGCGGGAGCAGCCCTGGGACGGCGGGAGAGGCCAACGGTGGGCAGGGAGGTCTGCTGGGGTCCCCCATGGTCCCCGTCCATCGGTGCTGCCCCCACTCACCCCCTCGCCCCCGGTCTCTGCCCGCAGGCTGCAGGAGGATGGGGAGAGGAGGGCGGCGCCGTGTGACGACTGCGTCAGTCCTGCACAGGAGCCGAACGCCGACGGTCCTGGTGAGTCCGTGGGCGTTTGCTGGCGGGGTCGGGGCAGGCGGGGCCGGGGTCCCTGCCAAAACGGGGTCCAGCGTCGGGGGGCGCTTGGGGCGCTTGGCTTCGCTTGCTGCACACGTGCTGCGCCGCCCGGCCRGCTCCTTCGGGCCGTGCGGAAACGGGGATTCGGGGGGACATTCCGGCACGTTCACCTGAGCCGCCAGCACAGGGGGCACTGCCCCATTCCCAAATGTGGAGCGGGAAGTGGCGGGAGCCGGTCACGGGSGATGGGGCCAGTGGAGGTGCATTTGAGCTGCCCAGGCCATCCTTTCATCCAAGGGATTATTATATATTTTTTATTTTATTTCAGATTTGTCGTTAATATTTTAAAATATTTTTTATTATATATTTTTTCCAAGTTTGACCAAAAGTCAGCCTTGTGCCCCTTGCTGACACGGAGCCTCTCACCAGCCTGGGGACGTGGGAGGCGCGTGCCCGAGTCCGTGCACTGGTGGGGCAAATTCCCTTTGGGGATCCAATCCCTCTGCTGATGCGGGGATCCCATCAGAGGGTGGTGGGGAGTTGGGAGCAGCACATGGACGTGCCCAGAAGGCCTTGGCCGTGCAGATGATGCCACCATCCCACTGGACTCAAGTTTCTCCGGGTGCCTGTGTCTTTCCAGCAGGACTCCCTGGCTCCAGATRGCACCAGGGGAGATAATTTAGGGAAAACAGCTCCCCAGTACGGATTGCAGGCAGGGGACTGAAGTCATCTGGGTATTAAAGGAACCAGTTTGGGGGTGACGATCCAGARCAGCCTTGGGGACTCGGTGTGGAGGCTCTTGGTGCTGACACCGTGGTCAGGGATGAGGCTTCCAGGGCCATTAGGACCCAGGGATCCCAATGTGGGGGCAACTCCTCATGCCCCCTAGCCCCTGGGAATGCATTTGGGAAGCACCGTCGGCATCGAGCATCCGTAGGCTGGAGAGCTGCCTGGCCCCAGTGCTGGTGCCGGGGACACCCGGGGCGCTGCAAGCGGGGACAGGAGTGYGCGGTCCGTGGGGTGCCAGGGGGCACGTGAGGTGTGGGGCAGCACTCACGTGGAACGACTCATTTCCAAGGAGGATTTTCGCACCCTCCCTGGTCATTCACTGCCATTTCTGAGTAGATTTGGGGATAAGTGGAGTGGTGAGGGGAAGGAGGGAGGATATTTCTTGGAGACGAATCCCCCCCTTGCARAATAGGGATGTGGAAACGGGTTTCAGGGTGGGTTTATTTTCGGGAGGGGCGGTTGCCAGGGCAGCGGCAGCCGGTGCAGCAGTGGGAGGCGCCRCGGATGCGCCGCGGGAAGCAAAGGGAAATGCGGGAGGAGGCGCGAGAGGAGCTTTGGGGAGCGCGGGGGGGTCCTCCAGCCGGGATGCTGCTCCAGGAGGCCATCAAGGCCCCAAAGGGACAGGTGACACCCCCCAAAATACATCCCTGCTCCCAGCCCGGACTGTGGTGATGCAAGATGGGTGCCTTCTTTGGAGCAGCTTTTTGTGGCAAAATCCAGGTGTTTCAGTGCAGATTTCTCTTTCTTTTTTCTTTTTTTTTTCTTTTTCTTTTTTCTTTTTTGCACCTGCTTTTGCACCCGTGGGGAAGAGGCAAAATTTGGGGGTTTCTGGCTGCTTTTGGCGCTGTCAGCAGAGCTGGGGATCCTCTATACCCCCGGCAGCAGCTCCGTGAGGGCACCCCGTTATCGCCGGGTGCCGGCGGCACCGCGGGCCGGAGCGGGACCGGGGGCCGGGCGCGGGCGAGGGGCCCGTGGGCGCCCGTGGCCCCGGCCTCCCCGTTATCTGCGCCGGCCGAGCCGCGCGCCCTAATGCAATATTTTCCGTCGGTTGCCATGGCAGCGCGCGTGAGGTCACCAAATCGACTTAATTCCCCCCTCCCGCGGGAGGGATAATTAAGGAAAAATGAGGATAACCAGATCTGCCCCCTGCCTTCCCCCCGCGCCGCGCTGCGCGGGGCGGCGCGAGGCCAC